CCCCAAAACCCCAAAACCCCAAAACCCCAAAACCCCTTAGGGTCCCCAGAGAATTGAATTATCTTCTTATTAACCTATCTTACAGTCAGAGAGCTTACTGGTGCTGTAGGAGGGTCTTCATTCTTTGGCTTTTGAGCTCAAGAACTCTTTGATATTCTTCAGTGCTTAACGAATTAGCTATAGTCTTCTTTTGAGCAAAATTTTCAGATGATTGTCTTCCGAATCCCGTTAGAGAAGTTGAAACGATTGAGTTCTTGTATACTTCTGCATTGGTATTCCAAGGGTTGTATGACCCCGATTTGGTGAATTCTACTGGTGGTCTCTCAACTGGCTTTGGGCACATGGTCAGCTCGATGAATGCGTATAAAAGTCCTCCATCCTTATCTTTGTTGTAGGGTCTTAAACGAGGCTTGAGTGCTAATTGATCATGGAAAAAATCTTCTGATTCATCTGTGGTATCATATGGAATGCTTCCTTGTTGCTTTAAACTATCTACAGGCTTCTGCTTTATGTCTCTAATACTCTTCTTATTTGCTAAGTCTTCAGGAGCACTGGCTAGACCACCATCAACTGCCCCTCTCATAGCTCATGATGTATTTGGCTTTACTCTCTTCGAAGCTCTTATACTAGCTTTCGAGCTCCTGAACTCGTGGTCAGAATTGAACCCTCCCATATAAGACCTTGATGAGGAGGACAATTTCACTGGGGATGAGAACTTGTTTAGATAAGACTCTTCAGATTCAGGATCCCTTTTATGGTACAAATGCACACTCTTATTTAATCGCACTGGAATTTTTCTTCAACTTTGGCTTCCGATTATGAGTTTTCAACGGAGCAATATACGTATTCACCCTGTTATGACCACTCGTTGACTGATTATCTGAGGATAGATAGCCTTTCTTGACATAAGTTTTAGCTGATGATCGAATAGTTTTCTTTGGTGCAGGCTTCTTTACCTTTACTTGCTCAGGTGTCGCCTCTGAAGAAGTTACAGTATAATGAGCATTGTTATAATAACCTGCACTTTCGTCACAACTTTCTTTGGGGAAGGGACCTTCAGTATCATTAAAATTGCTAATTTCTTCAGACTCAAGACGACTTTCTTCTCGCTTGGACATCTTAGGTGTTAGATTTTGGCTTGATCTTTCCTTCTTCATCTGTTGAAGAGCCAAGACCACCAGTGCAAACAGATTGGCAAATATCCTGCATTCTTTTTGGAATGGAGCTGATATAGTCGTGACCGAAATCCTCTTATTTACCAAAGCACTGGGTCTTGTAACTGAGAAACTCTGTGAGATCAGTAGATAAGATTTTAAGCTTATCAGGGATACTTTGGATGCACTGAAGTAACTTCTTATCCTTTTTATGAAGAATTCTAAGAATTCCGTTCCATTCAGTAGGTATTTTGATCTTCTCACCCATAGATTGCATAATCTTCATAATAGCTAGCATGACTCTGATGGTAGGTAAGGTAGGTTTCACCCTGGCTAGGTCATAGATATGCTTCAGTTTAACCTTCTTGCATGAGTTCTTTAGCTGCGCTAGTACATTTGTAGAGCTATTTACTAGCATAACTGGGCTCATGGTTTTTGGAATAAGTCGAAATCTCAAATTTGGAGACAGGTGATTTAGAAATATGATCACGATTTCAACTATCATTATTAGTGACTTCAGTCAATAATCTCTTGCTCTCAGATGCTGAGTGAATGCTGTAAATACGGTCAGGCTTGTTAAGAGAGCCTCTGGATGAATAGTTAGAAGGCTTCTTATAATTCATTTTGCTAACAGACTTTTTACGATCTCCTCTGGTCCTTCTCAAGATGGTGCTACTTTTAGACTTCGTTAAATTTTCATCATCTGTTGATTCGATATTAATCTTTGAACTTGGAGTGATCTTATTGGCAAGCCTCTTATGAATATTAGCAGCTCGCTGACTTCGTCCTTTAGGAAGTTTAGTTAAGGACTTTGAAAAGTCTTTCTTTACTGAGAAAGTTTTATGATGAGCTTTTGGTTTACAATCGTTGTCACTGTCTGCATACTTATTTGTAAAACCTTGGAACTATAGTTCCTCCTACAGAAGACTTCGAATCTCTGCTATGAGCGCACTTTTCGATCTGCTTTTGGAGTCCTTCAATGTTTCTCTGAACCATTTTCTGTAGTTGAATAAGGTCTTCTTGCTTCTTTCTAAGTTCCATTAAATCTGAACCGTTTTGTAGAGTTGGACTATTTTCCAAGTTCATGGCCAGTTTTGAAGGGGTATCATCCTGATTTCTTCCCTCGAGACCTAAATTCCTACTGGAGCTAAGTTCTTCCTTCTGTCTAGGGGTGTGGTACATGTTGCTATCAGCTTCATCGAGAGTTTTATGCAGAGTGTATTTCCTAAATTTGTCTTTAGCTTCCATGCTTAATTATATTTTAAATAGTTCAGCTTAGTGGAATAATCCCGGGGTTTTGGGGTTTTGGGGTTTTGGGGTTTTGGGG